AACAAGTTCTTACAATTATGTCTTTCATTTGTGAATGAAAGACAGTCAAAAAAAGGATGTCAACCCTCCCACCAAAAAATGGTGCTTTGTGTTTTGTTGGATTTCTCCAAATACTTCATCCTGGCAAACCCGACACAAGTTTTATCTGCACATTCTCGTCCCACATCCTCTCTTTCCATTTATTTGCACCTCAACCAGACAACTCTGTCTTGATTATGCCCCAGAATGTTCTAGCAAGGTCACTGCCAGCCTCCGCTCTCTCCTGACCTCAGCACCTCCCGTGTTGGCTGACCACCATCTCCAGGAGGATGTTTCTCAGATTTGCATCACGAGCCAGGACCTGACTAAGAAGCCTGCAGTGGGACAGTGTGGCCCTGCAGGGGATCTGACCAGCTTCAGGGGCACAGCAGTGGGTGGTGTCCCAACCCCTCAGCATGCCAGGAGATCTAATCCAAAGCTGTATCTTGGGTGGGACTATGTGGTGGCCCACTCTCACATTTGTGAGAGGGGAGCTGGGGAAGGTAGAGGCAGGGGACAGGGCAGGGCAAGGAGAAGAGCCAACATCAGGAATTCCACAGCCCAGGGGGCTGCCGGGGGCCAGAGCCATGTTCTTGGGCCTCTGCCGTGCACACACACACCCTCGGTGGGACCTGTGGCTCCTTCACAGAGCAAGTGAAGCTCCACAGCTGCATGCATCTGCAGAGGAGCCTGGGAGAGGGAGTAGGCAGGAGGAGCCTTCTTGATTCTGCAAGGATGGGGACCTTGTTTTTTGCTGGTTGATGCACAGGGTGCACTCAGCAGGGCCTTGGCCATCCCACACCACAGTTCAGAGTTTGCATGAAGTGGTTTGTGAGGGGAGCGGGCCAAGCCCATGCCTGTCTGCCTTCCCAGCCTCCGAGCCTCAGCACAAAGTGTGGCTTGCAAAGGGTGGACCCTCCAAGGCAGGCCTGGTTTGTCTGACCACAGGAGGCAACAGAATGCACAAGACCAAGGCCCAAGGGCCAGACACCTCCAGGTCCATGTCCTAGCCTTGCCCATTACTAACTGTGTGGCCTCTGGCTAGTTTCCTTGCACTGCCAAGACTCAGCTGCTCCATCTGTGAAGCAGGGCGCCTCTCATGGGCAGCACTCTCCACCTGGCATAGCTCGAAGCTGCAGCAGCTGATGACTGTGATTCCCCACGGGGGACGGAGACCATGCCTGTGCCATGCACTGTGCAGTTGGTGGCTAAGGACAATATCTGCATGACTGGCTCATGAGAAGTGGGGACATGTTTGGCCTCTGCAGAGGAATCCTGGGACAAGTATCCACCCTCACTACTTGTCTCTGGACACCCAATGTTCTTCCCCACTGGACCTGAAGTGAGTTCTTTCACTGGATGCCCCTGTTGCAGGCCGACTTCTCCAGAAGCAGGTGCCAAGGTGAAGTGGGGTGGGGGCGCATATAAGATGGGAGGAATCAATGCCAAGGGGCTGAGCGGAGCAGGAGTTCAAACTGCAATGAAGAAAGCAGGACAAAGCCTCTGTCAGCTGGCAGGAAGCCCTGGAGCAGATTTTGCCTGTCACAGTGCCCTATCGGCTGAGATGGTTTCACTATCCTGCCTCGCAGGCATGGGAAGCACCTGGCTCAGGGAGGAGCTGGCTTTAGGCAGGACAGCTCTATGGGGGAGGCAGGCCCTGCAGGAACTGGAGGCTGAAAATTGTGTAGGCAAAGCTCTCTACATATGCCCTCCTGAAGCATATTCATCTCATCAGAGGGGTTTTTACTTAGCTTCATTGCAAATGGTGGACCCTCCAAGGCAGGGCTGGCTTGTCTGATCACATGAGGCAGCAGAATGCACAAAACCAAGGCCCAAGGGCCAGACACCTCCAGGTCCACGTCCTAGCCTAGCCATGAGCAGTGAAATGCATAGCAAGGTCACAAGTGTTCTTTAAATTACTTTAGGGTCTTCTTTGAACTATTTTCAAAGTGGCTGAGAAAGCAAAGGGTGGTAGTTAATTTGTAGAAAATAAATAGAAGCAAAGAAGATAATGGGAAAGAATATGTCAAAAGAAAAGGATGCATGGGACCAACTCTTGACAGGGTCAGTGAGGTTTGTGTGAAGCTAGGAATTATGGCTATAGGTGTCTCTGTGTACCGGGAAAGAAAGATTCCTTTAGTAGCACAGTCGTATGCACTAAGGTAACTTCTGACCAGCTACTGACCCAGAGCCCACATTAACATGGGATTGACTTATAGATGAAGCCCCCTAAATAGGATGACCACCACGACAGTTCTGGAGAGGACCAACTAGGTCAAAAACTCCATCACCCGAGATGAAGAACAAAGAGTACAACGGTGGTCCCCAGGTCTCCTGGTAAACATCAAACAGTCATAAATTTGGGGATAGCATTGTGTCCTTTGTCGTCCTCTGCTGGGAGATGGAGAGAGCTCTCTGCTTAAGACTCACTCTGCTTTTACTTTACTTTCACCTCCCTTTCACTTAGAATAAAGTTCCCTCCCATGGCTTTTGGTGTCTGATTTTAAATTTTCTTTTGTCAGAACACAAGAACAGAGGTCTGGAGTTTTAGCTCCCTGCTTTCCTGGGACAGTGGTACCAAAATTGACTATGTACAAATAATTGTATCTGGAATAGAGAGGAGCTCAGAGCACTCAAGAGTCACAATGACCCACCTTTTTTAGACTTTATAATATAAAATTGAAAGACCTCAAATGGGCCAAACTGTTTCTACCACACACAAATACCTTGTGGGTGGTGGGGAGGGCAATGTTTAACACAGGGACCAAAGCAGGGCCACCCACAAAGCCACTTGTCCAAGAGTCGACATGGAGAGGCTCCCTGGCTGTTCTAGCAAGGCAGCCCTGTTGAGGCTCACCCTGGGAACAGTCTAGAAACCAGCTGATAAGTCATACCTGACGTCAGCACCGATGTTACCAGGGGGTGTTGCCTGCCAGAGCTTTCAATACCATCCCACAAGACGCAGGTCCGTAGGGCACTGGGCTTTTCCCTATTGCTGGAATGTAAATGTCTTGTGGGAAGGACAATCATAAGTCCCCTATCACCCTGATGAGTTTTATATAAATGTTGCTGAATGAATGGATGGATGGATGGATGTGTATTCTGAAGGTCTAATAGTCCAAAAAGGTCAGATCTCTAATCATCCAAACTGCCTACTTCAAAGCAATGTTCCCTATTTATATATGTATAGACTTAAAATGACTTTTATTCAAATTATGTTTTTCATTAAAAAGCTAACCTCTCTTAAAAGATGAAAACATGTCATATTTCATTCAGTCAAAACTAGGAAGTATTCTCTAATTTATAGAGTTACAATAAAACATAGTTATATACTAAATGCCTCATTTATCTTCATTTAAAAAAAAAATATTTATGCAGCATAGTTCCAAGAAGTGTTGAGTGTTGAATTCAGCTTCCTCGTGGATTTCCTCCTGTTGACTCTCCCAATATTTTTATTTCATCATTAACCTGTTACAAAATCAAGTTTAATTAGAATGTAAAATCCAAATGTATACTGTCATTTTTATCAATCCGATTTATGCAACCATTTAAAAAGGAGGGCACTTTTCAACAAGGATATTTAAAATCTTTAAAACATGTCGCGGTCGCAGCATATCTTTAATCCTACACTGAAGCCAGGTTAGGACTGGGACAGTCTAATAGCGACATCCGGGTCCTAGAAGAAGTTCTTGGAGCTAGGCGTGGTTTCTGTGCCTGAGGGGCAAGACCAGGCTCCTACTTCTTACTTGTTGCCATGTCTCTGATCTTACAAACCCCAGGGGGAATCATGGCTCCCCTGGCATTTTTTCCCAACTAATGACATTAACCAAATTCTTATTTATCTTAAAACCCCCACTATGTCTTCATCATAGTGACCTGTAGGGAACCCTAGGCCACAAGTATGGATTGAACAAAATGGTCATGGGTCCCTTTTCCTCTTTCCACCTCTCCCCCACCCTCAGCATCCCGGGCCCCATGACAGGATGTTAGAACCTCAGTTCTGAAGAGGCACAGAAGGGCCAAGCCAACCTTCTCTGCATTCTGCCCACTTTACCATGCAGTGTTAACCAGGTACGGCTTGTGTTTCTTGTTCATTCTTCCAAGTTCCTGGAAAGGGCACACCTGGGGTCTTCTCCTGGGAAAGATGGTTGGTTGCGTGGATGGCTGTAACCTTAATTTGACCTTGGAAAAGCCATCCTCCCTTTGGAAGTGGTGCCTGTTGTCCTGGGGCTCATGTGGATATGCTGGTCCCAGGCCAACGCTTCCTTACCACTAACTGCCCACGCACAGGCGGCCGGTGGATGGGTGAGTGTGGCCATCGTACCCCACTCGTCCTTCCAAACTCTGCTCTCTTTATTTCACATGCTTTGGACACAGCAAGCAGAAGGATAATATGGCAAAATCCATTGATTTTGTGTCCCCTTCTGGGAGGAATGGTGTCAGAACTGAAACCACAGCTGTCTACAGTGCACTGGGGAGGTCAGACACTTCCCCTGGAGAAAGTGGCAAAGTCCGTGGTTTGTGGTGCTATTTATTCCAACAGTCCTCCTTGGAAACCACATCTGACTCACTGGGGAAAATTCAGGAAGTGAGTTTGGCCAGAGGAGAGAGAAAAACTGTTCAGTCAAGATGGTTTTAAGGTACTTGGAGATTTTATTACCTCACCCAATCCCTCCTCTTGACGACCATTATATGTCTATTTGCTCTTCGATTATACACAATACATTTAGACATGCTAAAGCAAGTGGCAAGTAATGAATATTTTAAAGACATTTAAAAACACTTTTTCAATATGTACAATGATTTCAAATGTGATAAATTTGCCAAATAGTGAAAAGAAAGACACAAAAGAAAAGTGAGTTAGCCGGGTGCTGTGGTGCACGCCTGTATTCCAGCAGCTCCCGAGGCAGAGGCAGGAGAATTGAGAGTTCAAAGCCACCCTCCTCAACAGGTAGGTGCTAACAACTCAGTGAGACCCTGTCTCTAAATACAATACAAAACAGAGCTGGGGATGTGGCTTAGTGGTCCAGTGCCCCTGAGTTCAATCCCCTGTACATACCCCCCAAAAGTGAGTTATATTACACATCTTTCAGCCTAATCTCCAAAGTTGAAAGCTTTTTAAACATTAGCTCTATGGAATGAGAAAAGGAGATGCATCCCAGAGGCAGAATCCCTTCCAGTAGCCTCAAGGAAGAGGACCAAAGGACCAAAGAGCCAGCCCATCTGATAGGGAGCAGACAGGGAGCAGACAGGGTGGACCAACCGCAAGTGCCACTCAGCTGAGAGAGGCTGCCACCACGCCAGGGCTGGTGCCCACTAATCCAGACTGTCAATCTCCCTGTCAGGGTATCAGTGGACCACCTGAATCCTCACCCACATCAACCCCAAGGTGAGTCACAGAACCTCCATCAGGTCACATAAATGACTTAGAAGCCAACAGACTCCTGGTGGTGTGGCCAGTTGTCCAGGAGGCTCACTGCTCATCCTGCAGACAAATTTCAAAACAGGAACAAGGGCCCCTACACGCACCCCCACCCCCGGCCCAGAAGGGATCAAGGAGACCAGGGGAGAATTAGGTCTGAGATGGTTTGGAAAAAGTCAAGATCACAAATCTGTAAGATGTGACATGGGTGTTTGGCCCAAAACCAGGGAGGAAACTTCCCAAAGATGGGAGCTTTCATGAAACCTTCTGCCTTTGTGGACTATGGTAGTGGGCAGTGCTCCTGAGTCCCCTTTTGGAAGTCACAGCAATTCACAGGCCCTAGAAAATCCAGCACCTGCTCCAGAGGCCAATGACATGAATGTCCAGTCAAGTGCAAAGCCAGGGTGGGCCTCACTGCTGGTCACTAATCTTCCCCTGAAAACTGCAATGATCACAGATGAGGGTCAGTCGGTGGCCTTCTAGAATGGTCAGTTTTGAAAACTCTGTTTTGGAAAATATATTCAGTTTGAATTCCTTTCTGACATTTTTTTTTTTCTCGTTTCCATTTTACTCTTTGGTTTCTCCCTGGCCCCCTCGGTGGGTAAACTGTGTCTCCTTACTTCCGAAAGGACCATCTGCTTCAGAGAGAGGCGCCCTCACAGGGAGCTGGTGGTGTCCAGCAAATTCGATAACAGTTTCAAGCTGCCCTCTCTCCTCGTGAACGAGACCCACTGGGCCTGGCTAATGCAACCCAAGTTCTTCAGGGTTTTCACAAGATCCCGGCGGAATCTCTCCCCCACGAAAACATAGAGAACGGGGTTCAGGCAGCTGTGGAAGAAGGCCATGACCTGGGTGACCTGGAAGCAGATGTCGATGTTGGTGGAGATGGCACAGTTGGAAATGAACCTGGTGTAGGCATCTACGGTCTGCACCAACAGAATGCAGTTGTAGGGGAACTGAGATAAGACAAAGACGGTAAGGACAGTGATGGTCACCCTGAGGGCCTTGTGCTTGGACGACTTTTTGGCTTGCATCAGGGTGTGGATGATAATGGTGTAGCAGCAAACCATGACCATAAAGGGCAAGAAGAACCCCAAGATGACCTTCAGGGTCAGGACGGTTAACTTCAGTCTGATACTGTCGTCCCTAGGGTAGACCATGGTGCAGATGGTGAGGTCAGATTCCCTCTGGACCTGGCTGTACAGGATTTCCGGGATGCAGAGTGCTACTGCCACCACCCAGATGCTCAAGCAAACCATCTTGCTGTACAGAAGCCTTGTCCGCCTCCAGGTCTGGGCTTTAGTGGCCTGGGTAACGGCGATGTATCTGTCCACGCTGATGCACATGATCAGCAACACGCAGCTGTAGAAGTTCATCTTGTACATGCCGTTGACGACCTTGCACATGACAGTATGGAATTTCCACTGGTCAACAGCGGCGATGGCCCAGAAGGGAAGAGTCATGAGAAAGAGAAGGTCAGCAATTGCCAAATTCAAAAGGAACGTGTCGGTCATGGTCTTCACTCTGGTGCAGTACCAGTAGACGAGGACGACCAGGCTGTTGCCCAAGGTGCCCACGATGAACACGAGCCAGTACAGGGGAGGGAGGAAGTGGCTCGCAAACTGCCTGACGTTGTTTTTCTTACAGAAGAGTTCAGTGAAGTTGAAGTTCATGTAGTCGTCCACGGACGATGTGGACTCGTAGCTGTAGTCGTCAGACATATTAGGAATAAAGATCTGCAGGAGGACACAGATGGCATTAGGTTAAGCACGATCTTTTGGACGTCCCGTCTGATGGCAGAGGTGAGGACCACTTGACCTTTCCAATGCCAAAAAAAATCTCTGATAAGGCAAAAACATAAGAAAGCAGAAACACCATGGTTTGGATATGATGTGTGTCCCCCAAGGGTTCATATGTGGGAATATGGGACCCCAATATGGTGGTGCTGATGTGCTGGAACCTTTAAGAGGTGGAGTCTAGTGAAAGGTGATTAGATCATGGGGCTGTCGCCTTCAGAACAGATTATTGTAGTTAGTTCCTGCTGGTTAATAGCAGCAGGTTGTTAGGAAAAGAGTAAGCCTTGTCCCTGAATCCCTCTTGCTTCCTGTCTTGCTGTGTGACCATTCATTCCCTCTGCCATGTTCCCCCACCATGAGGCCATCTGCCATGATGTGAGGTAGTCAGAAGGCCTTCATCCGGAGCTGAATCAATGGGGCTGCCCAGTTTGGACATACAGCCTCCAAAACTGTAAACCAAATAAACTCCTTTTCTTTATATATTACCCAGCACCAAGTATTTTGTTATAGCAACAGAAAACTGACCAATACAGGTTGTGACATTTCTTCATCAAATGTTTATTGAGCACCCACAGTGGGGTACTGTACCAGGTGCTGAAGATACAGTGGTAGGTAAGTCAGGCATGATCCTCACTCTCATGGAGCTTGCCTTATTCATGAAAGATAAGCAAAGCTTTATAGGGTGCATGACAAATGCCCTGATTGGGTAGGAAAGAGTGAGTCAAGACCACTGACAGGGCATCATCCAACTGTGTGAATGACTGTGATAGTGTAATTGTCCCTTCTCCCACCTACTCCACTTCACCCCCACCACACACGCAAAAGAGAGGTCAGCAGGGGGTCTTAAATGTATGTGGGTCACAGCACTCTGAGTTTCCTCAAAGTTCCAGAAGCACCAACACACACACCTTCAACACCCGCATGTATGCAGATATACACAGTCATTTTCTCTCAACTGCATGCACACACAAGCATCATGACCAGCTATATAATTTTCAGGGCCCCTCATTTAAAAATTATTTAAGAATTTCTAGGCAGCAAGCATTAAATCAAGTAAACAATAAGTCTAAGCACATGGCCCCTGTGTGACCACATGGGTCACATGCCCAGAAAGCTGGCTCTGACACGCACATACATGTACACACATGATACATACGTGTTTCTGCACACGTCCATGTGTATAAACAAACCTACCCTCATGCTCACACACATGTGTATGCACCTATGCACGTGTCAATATATACATACAAATGCCCAAGTCTGGACATATTTGCACTTTACACTTTCTCATTACACTTTCTGTGTGTTCCTGGCCCAGATGCCATTGGGGAAAAGGAAATAAGGGTTGGAGTGGAGATTGGCAGATGTCTGCCACCAAAGCACTCCATTCCCACACCTGAGACAGTGATAAATCCAGTGAGACCTGGATTTCTGTGCCTCTGACATCTGCCCATGGGGTGCAACACAGTGCGGCCTCAAAGGCTCCTCCAGTTTGCTGAAGACCTTGAACCTTCACTCAACTCTCCCAGCCTCGGTTTCCTCATCTGTAAACAGGGCTCTGCCTTTCCTGTGAGGTGGAAGGCTTGTGGGGCACTGGGTGGTGATGGGCACAGGAGGAGCCCAGAAAGGTGGCCACCGTGTGTCATGGCTACTTTTGATCCAATGCAGGAGCCAGGGCCACAGAGGGGCCCCTGCCCTCCCTTTATCTGCTGCTGGACTCCTCCGACCCTGGATGGTCATCAGTGGGGTACTACATTCTTCTTGAGTGAGGTCACCTTTCAGAGTTTGGCTATTTTCCAAGATTCCAAATGAGAAAACTAAGTGATTGACAGTCCAAGGAGCAGTCTTGGCTCTGCTGTCTCAACCTAGCTGTTTCCTGAGCCTCATCTTCCTCATGCAAGAAATACCACTAATGTGCCCACCACAGAACTTTCTAGAACAAATGCAGCAGATTCTCCCTTGCTCTCCTTTGGTCTGAGTTTCCGAATAGATACATGGAACTAAGCCCATCCTACTTAAAGATCAGAAAAATCCTTAGCTATTACTAAAAGCTAAAATCAACCTTTCCCCTGTCTTCACAACCTAACCACCAAACCTGACTCTCTGTGTGTGCAAAACCCTCCATGCTGGACAACCACCTGCAGGATGGTGGGCATTGCTGGGCAGAGAATTTGCTCTAGGAAACCCCACAAGGAAACCTTTTACCCACTGCAGACTCCTTCCCACATCCTCAGAAAAGAAAGACCAGGGTGCAGTTCGAGGCTCCTTTTGGCCTGGCTGTACTCACTGTGAATTCCGTGGGAGTCATGATGGGTCACGTCAAGCCTCCTTCTGGAAAGAGAGGACAAAAATCAAAAAGAGGACTGGCTTGTAAATGTGCAATAGTCATCAAACACCAGTCATGGAGATTGGATACTGCATCTGTTCATGCTCATGGACCAAAGATTCCAAGTAACAGAGTTTATGTTACCCTAATACGAGGTCAAAAATATTCTAGATTTCAGGACCACCTCAGTTGAAAAGAGAAATGAAAGAAACCTCTTTTGAAGCTGTCGTTTACACCTTTGATCCTGACAGTCGCCTGATACTGGCATTTGCTTTCTTTTACTGTTTAAGTGTAAACAGTAACGAACACATCTGCTATCCATGAATGAGAAACCACCAGCGATGGCTCACATTTTCCAACCCGTTCTTTTTACATGACTTCCTTTTCTCAATTCAACTTCCCTGTCAGGTCCTGTTTTGCTCAATGGCTCCCCCACCCCCACACACCCTATTCTGTCAATTAGGAGACTCACTAAAGACATCAGAGAATCAACAGCTTCGTTTTCATCAAGGAAGGGATCTACCCCTGCACCAGGTCTTGCCTTTTACACTCCTGGTGAGTATACTTAAAAAAAAAAAAAAAAGTGTCCCATGCCACACTCCAAGGTTCTAGAAGAAAATTTTCTTCTGCATAAAAACCCAACCCTGAACCGTGGCTTCTTTTCCACAGCAAAGCCACAGCGCATTCTGCTTTTCTGAAAGTACAGTGGGTTTCCATATATACTGGATGGCACAACCACTTTGGAAAACAGTCTGTTTCTTAAAAATGTTAAATGTGCACTTACCATGTGATCCAGCCACCCCCCTCCCAAGTCTTTACCTAAGAAAAATGCAAGTGTATGTCCTCAAAACACCATGGCAGTTTTATTTGTAATAACCAGGAACTAGGAACAGCCCTTATGTCTGTGGAGTAGTCAACCGTGGGCTATCCACCACCAGAAAAAGGAATTGAGTCACACACAGCAAATGTGGATGAATCTCAAAATAATTATTCTAAGGAGGCCAGACCCGCAAAAGTACATGCTATATGATTCTACTTCTGTAAAACTCTAGAGATGCAAACTAATCCACTGTGATAGAAAGCAGCTCAGTGATTCCCTGGCTAGAGAAGGGAAGGGTGAGGGACAGCAAGAGGACAGACAGGTCCTGAGGTGCATGAAGGACCCTCCAGGGGGACGGTGAACATGATCTCCGGGTGCAGGCACCCAGCGGGACACATTCTGCACTTTAAATATGTGCAGTTCACTGTATTGCACCTCCGTAAAGCTGTTAAAAGTGAAAAGGAAAATAATTCTCATTCTGGTTCACCGCACTAATCAGTCGCCTCTGACTGTCAGCAGCAGCTGGGGAAGGCAGCCAGGACTTCCTCCTCAGCAGCACCCTGCGCTTGATCCCAGAATTGAGGGAGCCCCAGGAATTTGAGCTTTTTTTTTTTAAAAAAAAGTAGATTAGATTAGATAGTAGGATAGGTAGAGTGATTAGATGATAGATCAATAAAATGATGATAGAATGATAGACAATAAATAAGTAGAATAGATAATTAAAAGGGCTGATGGATGGGCCAATAGATACACAGAATGATGCGTGACTAATAAATAGAATAGATGATAGATGGTGGCTACAAACATACCTAGATTATAAGTAGATACACGGAATAGATGGTAGAGAGATGTAATGATAGGCAGGCTTGAAGGATGGATGGATAGATGATAAATAGACAGATAGTCTGTTTCCCATATGTATTTCCTGGCTCTTTCTGCCTACAGGACCTAAAAACAAGGACACGCAGTAAAATGAGCACCTAGTATACTCTGATCTTGGTTCCTAAATATCTTTATCCAACAAAAATAATCAAGGCTCCTTGGAGAAACGTCTGGTTCAAAAGTTGGGACAGGAAAGCCCCCAGGTGAGCCTGGAGCAACTTTTTGCCCCAGAAATCAAGGCCATGCTCAAAGGACCACTAGGTCTTATCAAAAGACATAGCCACCAACACAATGGGGCTCTGACTCGCCAGATCTGAGGCAACTGGAGCATCAAATTAAATAAGGACAGTAATGATTACAGCACATTCAATAAGATGAGAATCAAAAATAGTCAAAATAAGTGAATGAGTAAATAAATAGGGAGAAAGCTCTTCTTAGGACTAACAAATACAGAAGGAAAAGGGAGTTAGAAAATCATCAGTGGGAGCTAAAATAAATGAGGGAGCATTTGATGAGCAATAAGATATTGACCTCTCCAAGACTCTCCCCTAAAGTTACGCATTAAATATAAATGGAAGATTAGTAACTACAGCAGAGAAACCCAGAGGATACCGACCGACCTAAGCCAGTCTTCAAACCCAACACCATCAGCCTCGGGGCAAACCAACGTCACACTCATCCTAAAAGGTGCAGTGACTAAATGTCAACCTAGCCAGATGCAGTGGCGCACGCCTGTCATCCCAGCAGCCCCGGAGGCTGAGGCAGGAGGATCACACGTTCAAAGCCAGCCTCAGCAACTTAGGGAGGCCCTAAGCAACTCAGCAAGAGCCTGTCTCAAAATAGAAAAATAAGAAGGACTGGGGATGTGGCTCAGTGGTTAAGCGCCCCTGGGTTCAATCCCTAGTACAAAAAAAAAAAAAATCCACCTGAATCTAATAGAGGAAACACTAGACAAACTCAAAATGGGAGACTTTCTGAAAGTAACTGAATGATACTATCCAAAAATATGAAGGTCAAGCAACACACCACACACACACACACACAAGAAGCTGGATTTGATCCCACAGTGGGGAAAACACAATTCCAACGGACATCTTTGGGACATGGAGGACTTTTTAATACACACTATGAATTGGATGATAGTGTTGTGTCCGCGTTAAATTTCCTGATTTTTGCTAACCACACTGAGGTTCCATAGAATGTCCTTGTCCTTAGGAGAGAGAATAATAGTCAATGGGACAAAATGAAAACAACAGTTTGGGTAAAGGGTTCCTGGGACATTTCTGACACAATATGTGACTTTTCAATAAACTTAGCAGTAGATTCAAATAAGAGTCAAAATTTTTTTTTAAAGAAAATAAAAAGAAATGCCTTGGAAATTGGTCCCAAGATACAAGAAAGCCTGCAGCTGGGACTTCCTCTGAAATCAACACGGGTAGCCTCACCCACAGCCTCACACCAGGCGCCTGAGTATAAATGAAATTTCACTGTAGCCCTCGGGGTGCCGGAAAATTCCTAGCACTTCTCTTAAGACATGTTTCTGTTTTACAACTTATTATTATTATAAAATTTTTTCCTACATTTTTGTAAGAAAGTTGACAAATACACAAAAGTTGAGAAAAAGAAAATCAAAATCATCTGTGATCTTACCACCCCCAAATAACTGCTTTTAACTTTTTGCCATTTTTCCTCGCAGCCTTGTTTCTATTCATCTACACACTTCTAATTTTTCTCTTTTCTTCACCTTACAGATCATGACCATTTTCTCCATCATTAAATATTCTTCAGACGCCTGAATGCATAGGCGAAACCGTGCTGTCCCGCGATTCATTCATGTAAGCAAGTCCCCTCCATGAGGCACCCAGCTTGTTTCCAACTTCTTTCTATAATTATTTGGAAATATTTCCAGGTAATGGGAAATGTATTTTCTTTTTTAAAAAAAAAAAAAAGAAGAAGAAAGAAAAAAAAAATCCCCTGCTCCTTTCCTCTTGGAACCACGAATTGTCCCTAAATAGTGTTTGTGCATTGTTCTAGGGTCTTCAGCTCTAGGGTGATAAATTCCTGCTCAATATTCCTCCAGGAACACTCAAGAGGTGTCCTTCAACAGATGAATGGATAAAGAAAATGTGGTATATATATACACATTAGAATATTACTCAGCCATAAAAAATGACTTTTGCTGGTAAATGGAAAATGGATAGATCTGGAGACTATCACGCTAAGTGAAATAAGACAATCCTAAAAAAACAAAGATTGAATGTTCTCTCTGATATGCAGGGAAGAATAGAAGTTCATTGGATTAGAATAAAGGGTAATGAAGGGAAAGGAGGTGGGATGGGAATAGGAAAGACCGTAGAATGAATGGGACATAATCTTCCTGTGTTCACATATGAATATATGACCAGTGAAATTCCACATCATGTATACCACCAGAATGGGATCCTAATTAGAATAAGTTACACTCCATGAATATATAATATGTCAAAGTACACTCTGTTGTCAAGTATATCTAAAAAGAACAAATTTTTTAAAAAGAAGAAGAAAGAGTCCTGTAAGTATCTGTTTCAAGATGGGAAATTCAAGTAGCAAGAAGAAAGGCAGCCACTTTGGAGCTGAGAAGTACTACTTTTTTTTTTTTAAACCCTAAGATAAAAAGTGCCCAGATGAGTTTGGAAGACCCCCAACTCAGCAAACTTAACTTCATTGGAATTTGAGAACAGGAACATTGGTTTTTGAGGCATGAATTAAAAAACACTTCATGTATTTCTAGAACCTACGGCTTACATCACCTCCCTTTTCCTTGCATGAGGAGAGCACATATTGATTGGACAACATCTGAGAAAAATTCCCTAAGAGGCACCCCACAAAAGGAAAAGAGACTGTGGTTATAGTTAGTTTTAGATTGAAAATTGCTTCCGTGAGGAGTGTAAATTTGCGTGACAGTTTGGAGAGGTCAGCCGTACCTGTCATAATGTACAAAGCCCAACACCTCTGACTCAGCAGATCATTCTGCTGGGAATTTTCTGTTCTCACAAAAGAACATAAACACACAAGTACCCGATAGTAGACTGCAGCATTTTCTTGCAGAACAAAAAAACCCGAGGGCGGGGTTGTGGCTCAGTGCTAGGACACTTGCCTAGCACATGTGAGGCCCTGGGTTCGATCCTCAACACCACATAAAAATAAATAAATAAAGTTATGTCCACCTACAACTAAGAAAATCTTAAAAAACTTGAAACAACCTAAAAATCCAGAAATTGATAATATTGAGATACAACCATTCAATAAACCACATGGGGACCAATAAAAAGAGAAAGATAGACCTCACACTGTTGGAAAAGAAGTCACCAAAAACATTAGATTAAAATGCAAAGTGTAGAAGACAATATGGGGTGATCTTTGAGAAAACATCTGTGGAAGAACACACACTTGGCTGCGGATCAGTACGGAAGCTTTTCTGGAAGGATCCTGAACCACACACTGACAGGTGCAAAATGAGACGACCGTCTTTTGCTTTGAGATTTGACGCTTATTGAAGTGTTTTATCAAGTGTATGAAATTTTATTTTAAGAGCTATCATAAAAATAACTTGTCAGTTTTCAAAAAAAAAAAAAAAATGCGGGCAGTCCTCTTCCGTTTAGTACACCTGTTTACAAAATTCATACAAAGAGGAACTGTGGGCTGCTCCCTGCCATGGGAAGCAACAGCCCCCAAACAGCCAAACCCGTCATTAAAAATTGAGGAAATTGGAAATTTGAAATCCTTTGCTAACTTTTGATAAAGGTCTACCTTCCTTCCACGATAGAGGTGCTTCTGGATCATGGAAACTTTGGAGTAAGCCAAAGAGTCAAAAAAAAAAAAAAAGTATTTCTTCCTCGACCTTCCATCTAAAGACCCCCCGCACCGCCTTGATGGTTTCAACGGATCACCCTGAACTCTTTATCAGAATACTTTTCAGATATTTTATTCCACCAACTGCAAAGTCTCAGAGTTTGCTTTCACTTTCTTCTTGTGCCTGAGGAGGAGAAAAATAACAAAGGGGGAAAATCCCACATTTGACAAAACAGACTGACGGCGAGGAACCTGTCAACTGTTGACCGGGAGCAAATCGGAGTTAGACTCAGCGCTGCACGGTCTCTGCCCTGGCTGCTCACCGAGGCCTGGTGGTGGGCACAGTCTGGAAAGCCTGCCTGTCTTTCACAGCAGAGTGGACTGAGCTGGGTGAAGGGACCAGAAAACCCCCTGTACTTCTTGACCCATCCCTTTTGTGTCCTTGGGACCTTGGCAAGAAGTGACATGCCCCGCCGAGCCTTGGTTTCCTCATCTGTACAATGGGGGTGGTGAGGGCCAGGCTTACTCCCAGGGCTTTGTTCAGTAGCCAGGTGTGGTAGGGAGAGCGCACAGACATTCTGCATGCCCCTGTCCCTTGGTCAATGAGCCTTGAGCACCTGATGCTCTCACTGGCCTAAAAACCTGGTATGAGATACGACCCACGTCCTCAAGAAGTTGTGTCCGAGTGCAGCACATAAGTCAAGGCTGCAAACAGCAAAGTAGTAAATGCTCTGAGGTCCTGTAGGAACACCATGGCTCCAGCACTGAGGAACATCTGGGAGGGCTTTGTGGAAGAGGTGACATATTTGCTGACCCTTGAAGGCTGAAGAGCACGGGGGCATGTAATAAGGGGCAGGGGGAATGTGACTGCTAGGCAGGAAGACGTATCAACAAAGGTATGAAATTTGGGAAGTTGGTGGGGTTGGGGGTGAGGGTCTGGGCAGGGACCTGGGAGGCAGAGAAAAGGGAGAGCACTGTTAAATTTCCAAATCTGAAAAGAGGCTATTAGGAAAGGGAGTCTGGAATCCATTCTTATCCAGCCATGATTTTCATATGCTCGACTATCCTTAAGTAACCAACATGGAAATCGCATGGAACTGTTGTGTACAGCACCCCAGGCCAAAGCCTCACCCACCCACAATAGCCATTAGATGCTCCGCTATGAGTCAGGATGCAGATTCAAACTCTGACTTTTGTCCAATTCACTACACAAAAGTTTCACATCTTGCCGTGTGTGTGTGTGTGTGTGTGTGTGTGTGTGTGTTTCTGCTTCCCCCCACCTTCCTAAACTGGGGTAGGGCTCCAAGCCATCTATCAGGGTGTCACTCACCAAGCTTAGGCCAGGCCCTCACCACCCACTCAGCATGTATGTCCCTGGACCCAGGGACTTGTGGTGCAAGCCCATGGGCAGGGTGCAGGTAAGGGGCCTTCAGGACAGGTGAACAAACATCGGAAGAAAAGGGCCCTGAATCTCCAGGTGCTGTGATGGCGAGTTAACTTGGGTCCATTTGGCAAAGGGATGGAGGAGACGGATTCCCTCAGACCCGTGCACTCCCAGGTCAGCCTCGGAGACAGCCACCTCGCACGGGCTGTCCAGGCAACAGGGCAATTAAGAACTACCGTGGAGCATGCGCTGGAAGCCACAAGCCAGGACCCACTGAAAAGTCATTTAAAATAACTGCTTTGGGGCTGGGGTTGTGGCTCAGTGGTGGAGCGCTCGCCTAGCACTTGCGAGGCCCTGGGTTTGATCCTCAGCACCACATGAAAATAGATGAATGAAGCAAAGGTATTGTGTCTAACTACAACTAAAAAATAAACATTAAAAAAATAATAAAATAACTGCTTTTTTTTCTGATCATAAAAGAGTATTTCCATAATGCACCCAAAAAAAATCCCCAAAATGCAAAGTATATCATGAAAAAAAAAATAAAAACCCTTTTCCAAGTTTAGCCACTGTTGACTTTCTGAGACGCGTCCTTCCAGACACGTTTCTCTGTACACAACCTCATACACACACACTGAGTAGAAAGGAGATCAGACAGGCTTACAAATTTTCTATCTTGCTTTTTAATGAACTCTCTATGCTAATTCAACACAGAGTGTCACGGACTGAATGACTGTCAGCGCTGTGCCAGTCCTTCTACCCTGGGTAACAAGGGGCTTGTTTCCAGTTTCTCAGGGTTACCAGGAATCCTTTCCATGGAGCAGTGTCTCAGACTCAAGGTCTTCATGGGTGTTTCGTTGTCCCAGTCCCCGGCCACCCTCTTGTCACCTGTCCCCAGCACCCACTTCTCCTTCAAGGTCCACCTCACAAACCACCTTGAACCGTCACTTCACGTGTGTGGGTGAGGAGGGATCTCATTACTCACCCTACAAGCAGCCTGGGCCAGGCAACACCGACTCACCTTTGCCACCCTGGAAGTTTCTCGCAAAGTGCATGGCACGCAGGATCACTGAACAAACGAGGGCAAGACTTCGTGGCAATGCACCACGGAGGACACAGGTGACAGTGGGTCAGGGGAGGAGGGAGAAGGGTGCTACTCACCGAGAGGGGAAGTGCAGAGGCTCTGCGGGGAAGCTCTGGTGTCTGGGGAAAGGGCTGGGCGGCTCTCTGCCTGGGATGTAGGGCAGGCCTTCTGTGAGTTCTGAGCAGACAGCTATCGGGTAAAAAACACCAGAAAGGAAGCCAAGCCACCCCTGCCTGTGTTGTCACTGGTGGGGTAGCCCAGGAGGGAGGGAGTCACCTGCTGTAGCTTCTAGCAATCAGTCCAGTTAATCATTTGCAACCAGAAATGAAGAGCTGAGAACCACTGAGAAAGGAGAAACCCTCTCTGAAGGCACACACACAGACCAGTGGTCTAAGAGCAAGTCGTCTCCCTAAGACACAGCTCTGCCACTTGCAGGGAGAGGGAAATGGGGAGACCCTGGAGAAGCCAGCCTGGGAAGGCTTGCAGAGGGCATGTCTATAGTATTTCTTTGGGTATTGTCACCTGAAAGGGCCCACAGGAGATGCCACCCCTCCCAGCACTATCCATCAAAATGTATCCCTTTGAGCCTGAAAGATGTATCAGAAGCTCAGAGAACTGTGCTGTCCAACCCAGCAGCTGCTAGCCACACGTGCACTTTTAAAGTTGAAATTAATTAAAACGTGCACTAGTTTCTGGGTGACACCAGCCGATGTGCTTGGTAGCTACCCCAATGGGCAGTGCAGATAGCAGACATTTCCCTCATCACTGAGCGCTCTATTGAATGGTGCTACTTTAGAAAAACGGATAGGTGCTGGGTGCAGCGGCCCATACCTGAAATCCCACCAACTTGGGAGGCTGAGGCAGGAGGATTGAAAGTTCAAGGCCAGCCTGGGCAACTTCGAAAGATCCTTTCTCAAAATAAAATAAAGAGGGCTGGGGAAGTAGCTCAGTGGTAAAGCGACTCTGGGTTCAATCCCCAGTATCAAAAAAAAAAAGAATAAAGAAAAAGAGATCAAGAAAGGTGCTTATGTGATGCTTGGCTAGGAACACAGAATGCTGGGAAGCCACAGCACCTTGAAATTGGGGACAAATGCAGGGAGATTTCATGTGTCATAGCCACTAACACTGATAATACCTTTATTAATCATGGGTGTTGGTAAAATTTTGGAAGAGAATGCATACACAAATGTCACATTTTTGCTAAGGCTCACACGGGAAGTCTTCACATCCATGGCCCTTGTGGGGCCTTTGACCCGGCTACAATTGGAGATTCCCTAACATCGTTATAACAAAAACCTCTTTTTAATATTTGTTCTGGGGATGGCAGGGGTCACAGCTCTATTTCCTTTTTTCAGGGTATTTATCATCTTATGGACTCAGCAATGCTCTCCAACACAGTGGTCCTCCCAGACACGGAGCCCATTAATCACCACCAGTGTGCAGAACAAGGGAGTGCAAACCATGCCTTGGGTTTATTTCTAAATGGAAAAAGGCCACCAAATAGCCCAGACGAAAGGCAGAGTCCTCAACAGTAAGAATGAAAGAAATGATTGATTCATCAGCCTTCAGGGGACGATGGTATGAGTGAGCCGTGAAATTCCCTTACCTCACTACATATTCACTGAGCATAAACAGTGTTGAAAATGGTACATAAGCCAGCTACAGTGGCACTCACCTCTAATCCCAGCAACTCGGGAGGCTGGGGCAGAAGGATAGAGCATTAAGCCAGCCTCAGCAACTTAGTGAGACCCTGTCTCTAAATAAAATATAGGAAAGGACTGGGGATATGGCTCAGTGGTTAAGTACCCCTGGGTTCAAGCCCCGGTACCAAAACAACAACAATACACACACAACTAGTGCATGATTAAGAATCATTGGGTTGCTCTGCTTAGCCCTAATGACAGAAAAAAAAGGGGGGGTAGGTAACAGAGGTACGAGTTTTCCTTATCTGACTTCTCAACTGCCCATGGGCAGAGACAGCAGTGAATTTGCCTCTCCTGATTGACTGCAAGCCTGGGCAGCATCCCCAGAAGATGAGACAGGCACCACCGCACCTGCCTCGGGCCAGGAAGATGCCGTGCTTCCCAATGCAGGCTACCTCTTCACCAGGTAAGAGCATCCCAAGCAGACTCTGCTTGCCTTCCTGACAGCTGGAGAGGGGTCACCGGGAGGAAGAAGCAGTCAGGGAAGAGGAGAAGGGGTCCATGCTCAGGTGGGCTCCTGTGGCCCGGCAAGGTCAGGAGGCTTAGGTGACCTCAAGTTCTGAAAGAACTCTTGTTCCAACATCCCTGTGTCCCCTCCTGGGATATGGAGGGGAGTCGTGAGGCTGGGAAGAGGCAAGAACTTCCTAAAGAGAACTTCCGGATGCTCAGAGGAGCCCAGGGCAAATGAGATGCCTTTGGTCGGCATCCATTTGGGGTTCATTCCTTGCAGGGAAAGCCTGGTTCTTCTCTTGCCTTTGCCGAGTTTCTTCCTTGGCATCTGGAAATCAGAGCTGGGTTGACTGTAAGCGGTTGCTCTACCCTTTTATACAGCGCCTGTCTCTCTTTTCCTTCTCAACCTGACTAAGGAGGGATCCTGAGGACAGAGTAATGTGTGTGTGTTCCCTCTGGGTCCCAGGCCAGCTGTTGTGCCTGCCATTTATGAGGGGCATCCAGGGGATGGCTGTGGAAGAGAGGCTGCAGCCCACAACCTGTGATGTCTCTGAGGGAGAACGGCCCCATGTTGCCCTAGCTGCAGAGACCAGGAGGGGGCCAAGTCTAGGCTTCCTCTTGTTTGTTCTCATATATTGAGTGTCTAACAGTCTGGCATGGAAGAAATTAATTTTGCTTTAGTTCTTTCTACTTTCTCTTTAGTTCTCTTCTTTTCCCACTAACCCATAGGACAGATACCAAGTGGACCTGGGCTATGGTTGTAGCCCAGCAACGCATTCTAGAAGCTGATTAAAGATGTCTCAGATAAATTAGAGGAAAAATGAAAGGAACCTGATGTAAGTCCTAGGAATTCGGGAGTTGAGCTGCCCAATAGAGCTCTGGACAATGGCACAAATGTTCTGTATCCGTGCTGTCCAACGAGCAGCCACGTGGAGTTAACAAGCAGCTAATCTGCAGTTAGAGTGATTGACAGCTGCTCTTTTAAGAATTGCATTTAGGGCTGGGGTTGTGGCTCAGCGGTAGAGTGTTTGCCTCACATGTGCAAGATGCTGGGTTTGATCCTCAGCATCTCATAAAAATGAATGAATAAAATACAGGTATTGTGCCCAACTACAACTAAAAAAATAAATTAAAAAAAGAATTGCATTTATTGCAGTTGGTTTACATTTACATTTACATGTAAGCGGCCAGTATGGCTAGTGGCCATCCCAGCAGATCCTACAGGTCTGGACGCGCGGACCTTTCAACCACTAATGTTTCTACCTTAGCAATGGCCTTGATGGCTCACTTGATGACATAAGCCAGAGCAGCTAGCCTGGGATCCAGCTTCTCTTCTCTGCATAGGTCTGAGAGGGGGCTGAAGGTGAGCAAGCCACCTTCCTGGGAGCATCAAAGCAGGGCAATGACACTGGCTTCTCTAAACTTTCAAATTCCTTAAATTCCTCATGCTTTCAGGGTATCCATGAAAGTCCCTGAAAAGAAACGAGCGAGGAGAAATGAATGGTTTTTGCTGGATTCAGTTCCCCTGAATCGCTACTGAAGGTTGGGATGCAGGATAGAAGGCAGTTGTGGGGCAGAGAGCTGCAGTAGAAACAGAAGGGAGCAGAGACACAGGGCCAAGTGACGCCCCTGGGGGTTGGCATGTGGTGGATGTTTCCAAAAGATGCAGTACTTTCCCACGTGTGCATGAGAGGACACAGTGACGCCTTAGCACATTGCATGTGTGTAGTCGAAGGCCAAAGTAAAGGAGTTTGAAAGTTGTTTGATCGGTGGAGGTTAAGAGTTCAGCTGCTGCGGCTGCCGAGGTTGCAGCAGAATGCAGGCTAAGAGGGAAATAAATGTCATTCTCACCTCCCAGGGTTCTGTGTTTGCAGCCTGTGAATCATGAGACCAGTTGCAGGATTTGTGATTTTATCTGCCTCTTCTAGTGATGATGAACATGATCAAGCCTTGGGCTTTCAAGCATTTTATCTCACTGGGAGACCTCATTTGAGTTCATCATTCAATATCTATTTGTCTGGTCCCCACCATCTGCCAGCACTGTTCTGAGAAGCAGGACATAGCAGGAAATACAGCAGATAATACTGAACAGTGGTGAGCGCTCTGCAGAGAATCTAGCCAGTGGCTGGGGGCTCAGAAGAGGGCTCACTAACGAGGGGCATTATTTAAGACCTCAATTACAAGAAGTTTCCATAAACGTGAAGTTGGAGTGACTTCCCAACAGAGGGTGGCATTGACATATCCCAGGCTACAAAAGACCAACTTGGGGGTCAGAGAGGTGTGAGGGGCAGCCAGAGAAGCAGGAGAGGCCCGGCCTTGCTGGGATTCAAGCCAGGCCAGTGGTTTTTATCCAATGCCAGGGATGTGGAAAGCCACTGAAGAGCTTTAGGCGACAGTATGATCTAATTTCCATTTTTAATAAATCCCTGGATGCCGCGCCTGTAGCAACAGAAAACAGCAAAACCCTGAGGTTTCTCTGCAGACACCAGAACAAACTGCCTAGATTAGAACTTCCCCTTAGCCAGGCTGCCCAAAGGCAAGGTCGCATCCCGTGGAGAGGCGCCAGGGTGAATTCAAAGCGTTGGTATCCCTCTCTCCTGGAAGGAGGCTCACGTGCTAACTGCAGGAAACGTCCAGTCCCGGTGAAGATGACTAGTACACAGAGAGATGTGCTGACAGGCGGTTGTATTTTTTTTAAACTTTTTTTTTTTTTAAAGCAGTTGTAGATTCACAGCAAAAATTGTGCAGAAGGTTCAGCGCTCTCATACATTTTCCAACATACAGGCTCAGCACAGCCCTCTCACCACACCCTGCCCCAGAGTGGTGCTTGGTACAGTCCATGAATCCCCTCCCCACAGTCTGAAGTCCACACTAGGATCCATGCTTGGTACTGAGCACTTAATGGGTTCAGACAAATA